GTGTAGGGAGTGGGAGCATGGGAGGAGTAGATGAATTCTAGATAGGGAAGAGGGGTGGGAGAGAAAGTGAGGGGGCAGGGGATTAACAAGGATAGTGGAATGTGATGGACATCATTATCCCAAGTACACGTATGAAGACACAAATTGGGTGTCAACATACTTTATATATAAACAGATATGAAAAATTGTGATATATATATATATATGTAATAAGAATCGTAATGCAAAAAAAACAAAGTACATGTATAAAGACATGAATTGGCGTGAACATACTTTATATAAAAAGATGAAAATTGTGCTCTATATGTGTAATAAGAATTGTAATGCATTCTACTGTTGTGTATTTAAAATAAATAAAATCAATTAAATAAAAAAAATTTTTAATGAAACAAAAAAGAATCCAGGACGAGAGGAAAGCCTATTAAAATATTCCATTTCTGCTCTTTTTAGCTACCCCACTTTCTATAGTTTCTAGAGTGAGGGAGAGAGATAAAACAAGTGTGAGTAAGATGTGTGTGTATGTGTGTGTGTGTGTGTGTGTGTGTGTGTGTGTGTGTTTTGATCCCTCCTTGTCAATTCGTAACCCACCTGCTATACTGAATATTTAGCTAGAAATAGCTAGAAACTTGGCAAGTTCCCATGTTCCATATCAAATCTAAAAAATTCTTAAGAAATATGTTCTTCCGGCTTGTGGATTAACATACAGGCATTCAGAAAGCAGGTGAATTCTTATTTCTAGCAGAAAACTTGATTATGAGTGGTTACCTCATCTCATTAATTATAATCTGAACTCAATAAATTTATTAATTCCACCTGTGCATAACTCCTCATTTCCAACTTAACCCGAGGGCTAGGGAGATGTAAAGCAAACAATGAAAGAGCCAAGCTCAAGTTTCTCTGACCTGACAGGGTTACAAAAGCCTCATGACAAAATTACTGTGTGTCTAACTCCCCCTGATACACTATACAGTTTATATAGCCAGCACTATACAAAGACCATATTCACAAATGATAATAAAGATATGTCTGTAAGACAAAGTCCTTAGTATATGCAATCATTTTAACTATTACACTCATGAGAAATAGCATGTAGTATTTGGGGTTTAAGGAAGAACTTGTGAAAAGGGTAAATGTTACTTTTATTTAAGGCTGAGGAAGTTAAGTACTCTTGATTTAGTGATTCATTTAAGAAACTTTTGTTTTAATATCACTTTCCAAATTTTTAAACTGGAATTGGAATGATGTGATACAAGATAATCATGGAAAGGGAAGACTCTATCCAGAGCAAAATCATCTGTAAAAGAGATGCTACATCAAGGAGATGAAAGGCAATGATGAACAGAAGGACATAGAGTTAGGTTACATAGTTGAGCTTTGCAACTGGTATGGACTCAGCTCTTTCTAAGTTATTTCATTTAAAGTGCTATGATTCTGACTCAAAGAGCCAGAGTCCCTCATAGATGTTCACATAGTAAGTCATAGAGCGAGGTCTTGACCTTGGATTGTTCCATGCCTTCTATAGCATATACTTGACTGGGTCTAGTGCACCAGGAAATATGAGGCCCACTCATGAGATCTTTGAATTTCCTCCCTTATCCTTTACATCTTTCTAAACTTCTTTCATAGTGCACCTCAAAAGTTCATCTTTTATGACCATATCTTAGGTGCTCAGGCTGCACTTTCCTCTTCCTTTTGTTAAATTCTGTGGCATTCATTTATTCCACTACTAACTGACATATCTCCCATCATAGGACACCTGGTTTGTCCTATGTACACCTAACTTCTCTTCTTGATTAAATGGTGCACTTGAGAGAAGAGACTGTATCTTAAAGATATTCTGGTACTTCCTTGTACAGGGATGGCAGAATAAATTTCTTCTCCCCTACCACCTTGATTATTGCTCAGTGTGCATTGAAAAAATGGAAGTCTGTTTCCTGCATAAGTTTTTT